ACGCAGTGCACAAAAGATTCAAGTTTAAGATATATGAGACCCAGACACCTCTCATGACTCAGCATTAAAATTGTTTCGAAGTACTGGAAAAGTAGTAATTAAATCTGTACTTAGTTTGCATTAGAACTAATAAGGTAATAATAAAAATGTATTGCAAATATAAATAACAATCGGATTCACTTCAGGTCTTCTTAACATCCAACATTTCTCTTTCACATTTTCTGCTCTCTTCTCTGGATGCATTTTATGTTCAACTTGTAAAATGTCTCAATTTTTGGAATTTATTGTAAAATATCCTGATATGAGTGGCATACCCCTCCTCATCTACTTAAGATTTGTAGCTGTACCATCATATGGCAGCATTATCACTATATGGTCTCCCTGTGGATATTTTGTGTCTGCTTTGGTATTTTCCGAGAATCTGAATGCCGCAGGAATATCCTAAGGAAACCCTGCAACGTCATCTCAAAGGTACATGTAGTATCATGGCAGCAGAAGGTTTTTAGTCTCCACAAGTTCAAAATAGACCATGCAGCAACATATGTGACTGCTAGATATGTGACCTTGGGAATGCTGTGGCAGCCTATCAATAAACTCATTTCAAAGGGCAACATGTTGAAACCTTGTGGCCCTTGGGCTAAGATTTCACTATGTTCCCATCTGAAATGAGATTATTAGTATTAGCAGCACCTATTGAAAACTAAGTACAAACTCGTTATTTGCCTTGGACCAGGGCAGATAATGACCACTATGGTTCATCACTATGGCTCCACCTATTGCTTGTGTCAATATAGTAAAATATAAGCCTTCCAAATTCATGTTAATACCCTGAGAACAGGCCAGGCCTTGCAAGATGGTGATAATTGTTATTATTGGCCATAGATATTTTTACACTCGTACAGCTGCCTCATCAAATGTGACTAAGGCATTAACCATGTAACGACTCTATTATCACTCACTTGAATTTTTAAATATTAGTCTATTTATCACAATTTCTTCCTTATACCACATTCATTGATATTTCTGAATCAGAGTAGTCTGTTATTAGGGGGTATGTGCCTGTAACATTGATTCTATTACCTTTATTTTGAAGAAAATTACTGCGGTTACGGTCATCAACAGGCAGACATGTAGCTGAGGTATCCATCAAATCAATTGACTATACAAGATTTCTTAAATACCATTTTATGTGTAAAATGGGTTGACACTGACAGTCAATGGGTCTCGGCCAATATAAATATTGCTAATTCACTGGAATATGGGCAGACTTCCAAACTAATTAATAAATTTGAGATGTTTATTTGGCACTTTCATCAAGTTTATTTTGTGATGCTTTTCCTCATTTTAAAATGTTCTATAGTTCGTCTCAATGAGCGACCCTGCAGAGGTTAATGTGTGAATGAGTTAAACCCAAGTTACTGTGATGTAATTGATATTGACTGCTGCTTGGAGATTGATCATTATAATTATACTGAGACTTCACTCTCCAGGCAGATATTGGACAAGTTTCTGATTTCTCATCCAACATGTAAAGATCACAAAATTATAATTTGTAATTGTTTTGTATCTGACAGGGAAAGGTACTTTTAGGCAAGCCAGGCTTCATTGAGAGTGTGTGGAAACATGTGGAATATGTGGAATCAAGTGGCTCTGAGTTTTGTGATTTATTTATAGATATTTAGAGGCATCTTGCTTCATCAATCATCAGCTTCAGACCTAATGTAAGTGATGGTGATGGAGCATAGGAATCAATGATGGTGAAAGAGTTATATATGTCAACTTTTTCACAAGTACTGTCAAATGACCAGCATTTTATTTTGAAATAAAGGCAGAACTCTTTATTGGAAACTGTAAACTTTTGACGGAGATAGTCATTAGCAAAAACTATTAAGACTGTGACAACTTTTCAAAAAGTTATCCTTAGTTTGTATCGTTCCTGTGACATCTCCATTTAAAGAAATCATTTGGCCAATTGATTATGGTTAAAAGTAAGATTGATCAATCTACTGTCATGTTATAATAGATGCTATCTTTATAATAATCTGCAATTTTCTGGTAGACAGTCCATAGGTCTTGGTTTTCTGGCAGAACTCTGGTTCATTTGACGTCAATCAATAGTTATGGAGGTATAAACTATCTATAAAAGCCTCTTATATTATAGTTACTGTAACTGCACTAAAAGACAGAAAAATATTTCTCGGTTATGTGGCATATTCAGCGGAAGCTTAAAGAACAATTAGGTGAAATAATGATGCATATGCTATAATATCATATCGTGAATTATAGAACTTCGCAGCTTCTTCTATAAATCCCTGACAGCATCCAGACGTCTAATTGTAGATCAGTTTTGCGAAAGCATATTGCACATTTAACAACAGACCTGGATTGATGACTTTTAACTAGCAATCTGTATTGATCTAAAGTCAAGAAAGTCAAGATCATCAAACTTATTTTTCAGACAATCATTAGATACCATGGATTAATTGTCCATTCCTGTTGCAGAAATGAAGTACTTGCCCAGCATTCAAAATGATGAAATGTCAATAGAAGCACTTACCCAGAATGCATCATTGTTCTTTTTCATGAGATTTAATTCCAGAACTATTTGATAATTTTAGTAGAATATATATGAGTTTGTAATATGTACAATGTTTTTCATTTTAAATCATTCAAAAAATTAGAATCTGGCAAACTGAGTTAAAATTATTTCAAGTAAGATCGATGTTGTGAGTCTATGAAACCTAAATTGCATGCAATTGGTTGAAGTATTGCATTGAGAATTATTTATTTTAAGCTCGGAAAAGTAAGGTACATGATTGTAACAACTGCAACAAATAAATAAAAAAAATAGTTACAAAGAACTGTGGGATGGGCAAACCTCTTTTACACCAGATTAGGAAATGATTTTTCTATTGCTCTTTGACTCATTACTTGAAGCTACATACAGTTGTTCTTGAACATATTCTAATCTAACTTGAACATTAAAGACTGATGGAAAATCAAACTAAATTAATTGGAAATTACTTGGGACTGGAATTCTGTATAATGGTGAAGAGGCATTAGTGAATTATAGTGCCAGACTGACATTGTTAAAGCAGAAGTAACAGTGTATCTGTGCCTTTAATCAGGTTCAAGTATTTTTACTTTTTTTGTTTAAATGGATATTAGGGCTTTAGTTATGGCAGCAGTAAACTAAACATACTTACAAAGAGGAACTTGACAGGTGATGTATTATTGGATATATAATGTAAATCTAGATAAGAGGGGACTTTACTTTTATTTAAAAATAGACTTTGTTTTCTTTTAAAAATAAATTTTATGTTAATATATAGGAGTTGTCATAATTTAGTACAAGTCAATTGTTTTGCAATTTTTATTATTTGATTGTCAAGAATTAATATGTCTTATCTCGTCATAGTTGTCAGTACATGTAAAGTGAATTAATTTCTGATTATTTCAAGTTGAAACATTTTTTAATTACTCTTAAAGCTACTTGTAAATAAAGTCCCAGATCCACCTGTTTTTAAGAACAGTGTGCTTTTTATGTTGCGACCAAAAGGTGTGATTGTGACAGTGGTGTTTGGTGTCTGTAACAAATGGTAGGTGGTGACATTTTGCATGTTTATGTTTGTCTAATTTTATAAGACATATATAGGACATCATGTTCTGAAAAATACAGCCAGTTTTATTAAGTATCTTGTTATAATGCAGGGCTCACATTATTCGCGTTGCCAAAGTAGTATATATCCAGGTTACTATATTCTTATATTTTAAAACCATTTTCTCACTTCTTCAATCTTCAACCAAGAAATCCATGAAATTATGAACAATGATCAATTCTTAAGTAAACATTTTATACCAGGTAATAGAATTGCCATATATAATGCCCTGGTCACATTTGCACCGATTTTCACTACGGCACCCGAGTATTTTGTTCAAAATTGAATGCAATATTGAACAAAACACTCAATCGGGCAGCGGGCGCCGGCCGATGGATTGGAGCAAATGTGACCAGGGCATTACTGACAGAAACAAATAACAAAAAACAACTGATAATTGGCCAGGTGACCAATTGGTTCTGGGCAAAAATGTTAATTTCAAGGCCTGATATGTGCTTATGCATGTTCATATATTGTTACTGGTATATTGTCTATTTTAACCCGCATATTGACTTGATAGTTTTACCTGTCGGTCTGACCAGATTAAGTGAGCTAAAATCAATGATAATTAGTGCATTTCAATAGATTAACCTTTCTCTAATGGAACACATTCAGAAATATGTCGTGTTAACAACCATGTGGGTTTTAAATACATGGGGAATAAATATGTAATAGGGGGGAATTATACGAACAGTATATTCTCTTATTGTTATGAACTGAAGGAATATAAATCATGATGGATATGGGTAAGTCATATGGGATCATTATTAAAGAATTGATTGGATACTGAAGTGATCAGAACATTTAGGTAATAGTTTCATTTATTACAGTTAAACCGTTTTAAGTTGAAGATTTGGTATGTCCTTATACATCTCATTCTAATGGGGGTCCTGGCTCTATTCGTCAATTAGATAGCATTCACTGTACTAAATATTTCACGGTAGACTAAATATTTCACGGTGGATTTCTGGCTCATGCAAGATCCTCTCTGTATAATTCATTGGAGCAAACTAAGCATCAACTTACTGATTCTATATTTGTCTTGATATTTTAAACTGAAGATCCATCATAATATGTCATTCCACTGAGCTGATATCTTGTTTTTTAAAATATTTCTTAGAGTTCTACAACGCTTCACCAGGTAAAGTCCAGAAAGTAAGATTGATGAACTCGTTGACACCTAATTTTTTTTTGTTGTCTTAATGTTTGTTTATAGGGCTTCAGCTACGTCATTTGTATACAATGGACTTGGTGGTATATCTGTATACACAGAATTACCATACAGGAGTTGTTAATTAAATCAAGCTCGGTTCTATAGTTTTAAATATTCTATGTTTTCAGCTGACTAAGGGGCGTGGATAAAGTATGGCGATGAATAAGAATGCCGAAATCGGCTCTACAGGATCCGTCACTATCCCACCAGATGGAGACACAGATGTATCCGGGGGATCGGGACAAAGGAGCAACTTGAATATCGTAGTTGAACGTCCTGCATATACGCAGACCCATTTTGATGAGGGTTTTGAAGCAACGGAAAAATCAAAAGTTCATCCAATCAGAGCTTTGAGAGATTCGGCAGTCAATGCTGTATCTTGTAATGCAAAATGTGCAAAGAATTTTTTCTTAGGACTCTTTCCATTTATTGGAATTATGAGGACATATAACCTTAGAACAGATCTGGTAGCTGACGTCATAGCAGGTCTGACCGTAGGGATCATGCATATACCACAGGGTAAGAAAGAAAAAACTAGAAATTTTAAAATAGACTAGCTGGAGTAGAAAAATCTTGATTTACGTCATTAAATATTCAAAATTAATTCAAAGTGATATTTGAAATCTGCATGTAAAAGTACATTTAGAAATGTGGTTTTAAAATTTGTTTATTAATTTAGAAAATTTAATCTTTTTTAAAAATTTGACTTCTACCCTCTCCGTAAGGAACACCTATCTACAAGGAACAATGTTGAAAGAAGTATGAATGTTCCTTATAGGCAGGTTCTACTGTGTTTAAAACATATTGCTCAAATACTAAAACAAAAAGCTATTAAACACACATGCTGAATGCAACAATGACCGAACACATCTAACAACTAATCTGTTACATTTTGATAGTAAATCAATGTTATTAATTCTGCACAAAGTTCTATGTTGAATCTATAATTGTGAGTAAACCAGCTGTAAGAAACATAATAGGAATTGAAACCCTCTGACCTTCTTTGGATACCTAGAGAAATTGATTCTTAATAAAAGAGATAGTATCTGACTTGCACATCTTCATTATCTAATTCAATAATCGTTTTAATAATATTTTTGCTTGTATATCAAAAATTGTTTTTAATTAGAGGCAAGTATGAAGCATGGATTTACAAGGGCTTCCAATTGTTAAAGTTTGTGTAAAAAGGTGTTAGATCTGGGGCAAGATCGGAGGGGTCCTATGTAAAATGAAAGCATATTTAAGTTTATCTTTGTCTCTTTTTGACCCTAACAGGATCAGTTTTTATGACCTGCAGTTTTTTTTAAAAATATAACAATAGTAGTTGTGAGATTTGCACTGTGACAGCTGCTTACTATATTTATTAATTGAATTAGTTACCATGGATAAAGGCCACGCTTTGCCGAAGTATATATTTGTACGCTAAAATAAATTCAATTATGAAAATAATGTGTGGGTCAATAAAGCTGTTTAAAGTGAGGAAGGGAGAGGGGTGGAGGTTCGATAAAGTTGTTAAGAAGGAAATGGGAGAAAATGATTTTCAGTAGCTTTATTATTATGGGCCAATATTGTTTTGTTGTTTAAAACAAAAGTGGATAAAATTGTTCAGTTGGAAATTGATGAATAAAAATAGGGTTCCATCAGAATCACTCGTGAATCGTGATTAAGACTGAACAGTACATCATTGTGCACTTACACAAAACGCTCCATCATTCTTTATTATTGTTCTCTGTTAGGATTTATCTCGAGCCCAATTTTCTAATTTCCCTTTGGAATTCATTGAAGACAGTTTTAGTATCAGCTTGTCATAGACACCTCTCTAGTTATTATCATGTAACAGACAACTTCTTATCTATTTTAACAAGAGAAGAAGTATCTGTCATTCCAAGATTTTTAATATTTTCCTGAGGCGTCAGGACATTTGGTTGGTCATTTGTGGTCACACGGTTTGAACCTGTTGTTCTTTATATTCATCTTTGGAGAAGATTTCATTTTTCAAATAATGCTATGTGATACTCTAATGCCAGGGATAGAATCCAAGGATGTTGTCGTAAAGATAGGAAATGGGAAATGATCTGAAAACGAGGGAATAAATTTATTTTTGGGGAAATAAAATGGCATCTTGTTGAAAGTTAAGTCCTATGAGTGAAATAAAGCATTATATTACTTTAGACTAAAAGCAGTTACTGTATTTTCGATTTATATCGTTAATTGTCCTTGCTAGCCAAGGAGAGGTGTCTGCTGTATACTTTTGATCCTAATTAATATAATTCCTAAACTTGTACTTTCAATTGACTTCTTTCCTGAAAAAATCAAAGTTTGAGAAAAAGCTCTGATGAATTTTTCATTTTTTATCTTGGATTGATAAATATTTGCTTGTAAAGACTCCCCAGCATTTAAGTGGATGCAGCACCCACTACACCTGAGATTTTGAAAGCAGGCCTGCAACCAACTGAAAATTCATTTGCACCACTTGAAAATGAGAAAAATTGGCACAAAGGTCTGAATTGTGAAAATGAGAATTTTGCACTCACTTGAGAAAAAATCCTATGTAGAACAAATATAAGAACATAAAAGTTTACAGGTATGATTCTATCAGCATGCTTCCATTGGACATGTACCAATAATGCTTTTATTCCATGACACCAAACACATTTATTATGCACAGGTGAAACCACACGTTAAACCACAATATAACCATATGAAATTGTTTGTTAGATTGAAACGGCAAGTTTTAATTACTGTTTTAATAGATTTCATGAATTCAGAATTATTTAAAAGTTTTTTTGTGATAACAATCATGGCAAAATTATTTATCCGAGACATGTAAAATTAACACATAAAACTATAAACTGAATAAATAACAATAAACTGAATTTTAGCACAAATAACATGTCAATGAAATGAACATGGTTTACAGTAAATGTATGTTTCTTGTGTATTTACAGGAATGGCGTATGCAATGTTAGCATCAGTACCTCCAGTTGTAGGACTCTATGTCTCATTTTTCCCTGTTTTGATTTATTTTTTTATTGGCACATCACGTCACATATCTTTAGGTAAGTAAATTTTGATGAATGAATAATTCACATAGATTATGTATTCATTAATCTTCACATTAAGAAAATTTATACAAAAAATGATTTATTCTGTACAAGATGTGTGTTTGTTGTTATCGTACAAATATTAATATATGCATCTATTATTAGACTTCGATAATTTATCGACCCAGGAACCTGGTACCCAGAAGCCTCTGGAAGCTAGTACCCAGAATCCTCAGAGATACAATATAGATAGGGAAATGCTTGGTTGTATTTCTTGGTTCTAGTTGGCTCTATTTCCTGAGGATATAACTTATAAAACCAGACTCAAATATGCTCAGTTGAGTTCAATTCACAGCCCATAGTGTTAAGTCTGTTGTCGTTCAAGTTGTTGGATTTAATAGGCATGTTTTGTTGAATTTGAAGTAAATGACAGTAATTGAAAATTTATTTAACGTTTTTGAGAAGACATTGTGTTGATTTAATTATTCCAGATAACGATCAAAATGTGCTGGCCCAGTTTTGTATCATTTTAACGCTTTTATATATTCTTCCGATTCTCAATAGGCCTCTTACAAGATCTGAGTTGGGATTATATTTATGACACTCAATGGTAATGTAAAAACAGGATTGATCTATAGCCATGTCACGAACATTCTTTCTCCAATTATTACATCCCGGAAAACATCGAGAGAGGCTCAGCAGATCAGGAATCAATGTAGAAAGAAATACATACGTCTTATTGTAAGTTAGTTTTTAAGCCTTTGGAGCAGAGGCTAACAATTGGCTGTTGAAATTTTCATTACATATTGATTCTTGATTTTTATTTGATAATCACAAACAGTTTTTGATTCAGTTATTAAGATGAGTTTTCAACCCACTTTTTAGCTTATTATCTCTGTCTATATACAATGATGTCCAACATTGGTCATTGATATTCTACACATGCTGATAACTTGAGATCAGAGATCAAGAGTCTTTAATTTGTTAATAAAGAAAACATAATAAATCTGGGCAAGATATTTTAAAAAAATGATCTAAAAGGTTAAGCACTTCTATTAAGTCTATGAGTCACATTTTCGATATATGCCACTGCTACAGCATCAGAAAACCTCTAAACATCCATTTAAACTCAAAGCTCTGTCAGAGACAAATATACAATCAATAGATTGTAATTCATCATAATTAATGTTATAAATAGCACTCTAACACATGTATCCTTCACATTGTCAAGATCATCTTGTCACTTCTGATGAAATCAGATTTATTGTTCATTTTTTTGAGATTGGACAGATATTTATGGATATTACATGCCTGTCAGTAAATCACATTCAGTAAAGCTGTCTTTTTGTATAATATAAACATCCTAACTTGTGATAAGAAAAATATATATATACATGTATATTCAAATTGAAAAGTATGTCCTTTAAATATATATTTTTAAACACCTTAATTAATCTTTGCTCTAACTTAAGTTAAGCAATAAATATTATTGACAGAACAATGGTAGAAAGTGCTTGGTATTGATAAGAATAATGAAAAAATCAAATGGCAAACTGAACTTTTTGGGTCACCTTTACATAACCTATGAAAACTAAAAATAACTCTTCACATGTAAATCCATTAAGAAAAGTCTGCAAACATCTGTGCCTAATTTAGTCTAAGAATGTAATTCAAAGTAAAAGATGGCAAAACTTTTCAAGATCAGTCTGATAGAACCTGTCAAAATTCAATCTACAGACTCAACAATTACCGAATTTTCTGATTTAAATATGCCATAAAGGATCTGACCCGATGTTCACGCAATATTTTTACATTCGCTTAATTAAATACAGCATTAGGAACCTTCCGTTGAGTTCTCTGCCATGTCAGTTACATAGTGTGGGTGTTCGTAAGTGGGAGTCGCTATATTGGCCTATATTTCTGCTTTATACTGGCTATATCAGTTGTATTGATTTGTTAAAGTCATTACGCTCTATCATTTCTATCTTCACAAGCCATTGGTTGTTCTAATTGAAACTTGGTTAACCTATTGAGACGAGGTTCGCAGTGCATGTTATTTGAAACAAACTGTGTTGATCACAATGGTTTAGTAGATGTTTTTTATCTGAATTACAAGGATGTTTCTTTATGTTAAAGATTCACCATCCCTTGATCTCTAAAGATATCAAAATACAGTAATTTCTCCCAAACATGAAACGATAGTTCGATTTGTGATACATATACTTTAGATCTTATCCTGGCTTTGTTGAAGTAGTCACATAAATTGTAGACCAGCAACAGCTTCACAAAAATCAAACAAGTAAAATGTTTGCAACATACATATACTACTTTTCTTGATTTTCACTTTGAATTTTAGAATAGATTTGGTCCAGAAGATTTGCCATTATCATGTTGCATTCTGGGAAAGGATGTCCTTCTGTTACAGGAACTATAGCGGTGGTTAGTCTGATGATCGGCAACTTAGTCCAGAAAGAAACATCAATTAATTTTCCTCCCCTTTCTTTCAATCAGTCTGAGATTGGGCAAAATGGTAACATTAACAAAATATTTTTAGTTTTAAATACTGAATTCTTTGCTGAAAATTCATATGTCTTTTCTATGTGATGCCATTTGTTATTCTTTGTTTTACTTCTGCACAACTTTTTAATACAGTTTTATAGCACCCAATTATTTTTTGGTGAAATTATATTTTTAGAGCCAATTCCAAGATGAGAATTGGGTGTTGTGTTTTACTGAGAGATAAGTTGTCTTATATTATTTGGACTTTTTTTCGTATTTCATTTCCCTGGACCTGCTAAAAGGTTCTCATATGATTGATAATTTTATTCCAAAAACTTTGTTATGCACTTTTACCTTACAAAATCTGGATACGTGATTAATGCAAAGTTTAAAATTTCATTTATATAAATTGTCTTTGAAATCATATGCTAAAGTGCAGCACACCTTGAAACTAAAAAGACCCATCACGTTTTCCCATAAATTCATTAGTTTTAAAGAATGTACTGCTTTATCTATTGAATCAAAAATAAATAAATCAGTATTTACATAAATTGTGTACTAAGTGTGTACTTAGAGTTTATCATTTATCCTACACATGTCAAATAAATGTGAAAAACTGGACTGGTGTCATAGAATCTAAAGTATCACAGAGGCTTTAAGACAGTCTCACATTTTTATGTATCTTTAGTGATCAATGATTGTTAAATGATTGTGGGTTTTGAGTTGTTTTTTTTGTAAGTGAACTAATCTTGACTTGATAATTTATTGATATTTGGGTTGTGACGTTAGATTGTCAAGACATATCCTGATTATATTTAGATCTGAATTATATCACAAAAGATAACATTTGACTTCTAAAAATAATTCATTTTTTGTGGTGATGTCTCTCTCATATTGAATACATTACCTTGTATTTTTATCTTTGTTTAAAGAAAGCACTTGCAGTGTGCCATAATTGGGGATTTGTATGACTTTTGTGAGAAAATTCAACAAATTTGCTAAAAAAAATTCATATGAAAGTTAACAATTCAGTGAAGAGTATATGGTCATGTACAGATTAGTAAAAGGAATGGTATCGATATGGTGAACTGAATTCAACAATGTTTTTCTCTTTATCCAATTATTGAAAACATTCTGTAGAAAAATACGGCCCTTTATGTAATTTTGACTGATTGACAACAATTTAATGCGAATATTATTTATATATATGAAATAAAAGGTTTATCTTATTTTTTATTGAATTTAGGGGTTTTTGATTTAATTTTTGAATACTTTTTGTTAAATCAACTAAAATTTCCCTTGTTTAACTGTTATATTGAGAGGTCTAAGAAAATGTATATATACACCATATATACACCAATATACTGAAAAGCATAGCATGTATGCTGCTTTGTTCCAAAAAGTAAAACAAGGTTCAGAAAGGTATTTTATTTCATTCTCAAGAATTGGTAAAAAGGAATAAAAAACAATAACAAAAATTAACAAAAATAGTTACATGTGTTACAAAATGGTACCCCATAACAAATTTTGCAACCCATGGACGCGGTGATTTGACTTTTAATATGGCAAACATTTTTCACTTGATCCAGGCTCTTGTATGCCCAAATATCATTGTTGTCACATTTCTGGAATCACAGGAGCACCATTCAGATTTTGATAAAACAGTGTTTTGGGCTCTTATCAACGCAGTATTGCTTGAATAACATTCATTAGTGAGAAAAAAGTTAAAGAATAACAAGACGCTTCGAATGAGATATGATTTGTCTCATATTTTTCAGCAATGGCTGCACAATCATCATTTAAATAACTGTGAAGTGTCATATCTCCTGAAATGTGATCCCCAACTTTGAAATTGTCCCCTTGTCCGTATGACTCTCCATCCATCTATCTATCTGTCAATCAACAATTATCGGACAAATAAAAAGTGCATAATCTCATTATAGCTTGTTTTATTGATCACATTAAGTTATCCTATTGTAATACATAGGCTTTACTTATCCCTGATATATAATTTATCAACCGTACCTGAAATATGACCTATTTTTGATTAAACTAGCATCGGGAATTACCATGTGAACCCATATTGTTGCCATTTTTTAACAAAAGTCATACTATCCCCACCATACTTAAAGTGCATTTTATAGGTTTGACCTTTAAATGTTGAATCCATTTCTGCAATATTGCAATGGAAGAGATGTATTTTAAAGGATATAGAATAAACTGAAGAGAAGTTTTCACTTCATCTCAGTGTCACTTACATTCATTCCTTAAGTGAACTTCATTCACTTATCAAAAAAATCCTTTAATTGGCAGAATTCAATCTTGATTTTGATATGAAACATAATTTAATTAATATTTTTGCTATTATTTTTTCTATGGCATCATTTAAAGATACTCAATCCCTAAATCTGATCCTAAAAACTTTAAATACTTTGAGATTTTCTGTAAGAGATGTTTGTATCTCAAGCCATTAATAGTATAATATAATTTTCTGGGAGTTACTGTAAAGCTACATGTAGAAATCATTTAAATGTGAGGTATAACACAAAGATATCATTTCCATGATACAGATTAATAAATTCTGAATAAGGTCAAAGGAAAAATAAATATTGTGGAAGATCAGTAAAATCATGAAAATTGATAATTATAAAAGGTTCTAGTTTTACAGTGTTTTGAAGCTAGAGGTTGGGCCACTTTGATTTTTCTCATTCTGTAACTAAGTATATTCTAGCGAAATGGAAAGTCAATATTAATTCTATTTTTTCAGATATCTTTCTAATTTGGCTAGTTACATTTCCTGCTATGCCATTAGTAGAAGTCAGATTTTATAAAGAATCATTTCTTCTTTTCCCCTAGATCTTCATGTAATATGGCTACTAAGTGAAGAGAAATCATCCAACATGTCCTTTTAGGGTATTTAACTACAGACTATGGTTACGATGCAGTTATGCTGATATTTTTGATTTCATTACTTTATTTGATTATCATCAGATATCGACTCGTTGTATATTTTGTCGTTCTGTATAGCGCAAGTCAGTACAGATTGATAGATCAGCTATACATTAAGGCCCTGTCAAAATTAATTTCGGAATCTATTTTTCAGAAGTATGTTTTGGCAAGTTTTGAATACTCTTCAAGCACTGTACATATAACCTTGTTTCTTCATATTAAGTGTATTTTTATTGCAATTATGAAGTGCTTTCTTATTTTTGATTTGTTGGTTGATTGTTTGTTCTAACCTTGCACTGATTGGTTTTATCTGTAAAGATATCATGTTTTAGTGCAGTTTTGTCAAAGATTTTTGAAAGGGACCTAAATGAGCTATTATCAGGATGTCCAGTATAGAAGGTTCATAATTTTAAGATTATGGGATAATGATACAAATATGAAAAATGTAGTCTGATACTAATAATTTAAAAAAAAAAATATTTTCCTTACTGTCACTGAATTTTACCACTGATTGTGACCCCTGATAGTTTCCCCTTATAGTTTCCCCTCATTGTGACCCACCCCATGTAACACGTTTTTGCTGTTGCAGGAACCTTTGCTGTGATCAGTCTAATGGTCGGGAGTGTAGTGGACAAAGAGGTCATCAATGATTTCAACGTGAATAACCCTCCACCCACTACCGCACCGGCCCCTACCATGGACCCCTTGGCCACAACAGTGTCATTTAGTTATGGTAACATTACTGCCATGATGAATGGGACCCAGGGTCCTTCAGATGGGATGCAGGAGTACAACAAACGCTTGGTAGAGTACCAAATAGCTACAGCGTGTTCTGTGACTCTGCTAGTCGCCTTTATGCAGGTTTGTAGAAAGATTTGATATTGTATATCCCTTGTATGTTCAATACTGTTAAAACCTCATTTTTGAAAATCAATAACTTCTTTGTACAACATACTGAACTAAAATCATAAAAAAACAAGTCAGTTCTTTTCATGTCACTACCATTAGTAGTGACATATTTCAGAGTTCAACATTCAGTGACTGTAACAAATGGCAGGTGGTGACAGTTTGAATGTTAATGCCTTTTTATCATCAAAAATAGTACTGGCAAGATGTAAATATTAAGCATTGGTTTACTGCAGTATATTTCCATATACATTTCCATTTCTGTCCAGGAAGACTCAGAACTTTTCTTCATGCTAAGATATTAACTATTGTGCATATCATATTTTGTTTGTAGCTTGGTATGGGCATCTTACGCCTTGGGTTCCTCACTATCTACCTGTCTGACCCTCTCATCAGTGGCTTTACCACAGGGGCAGCCTTCCACGTCCTCACCAGTCAGGTGAAACATATGTTTGGACTCAACCCTGGACGATATTATGGAGCTTTTAAACTCATTAGAGTAAGTGATTGCATTGTAAAGTAAGCAATGAATTATTTTTCTACAGAGTCATGCCAAATAAGGCGATTGTTTCAATGCCCCATTTGAGACCTTTGAATACCATTCATTGAAACGTTCCATGACCTCATGCAGGTACACTCAATCATTCAATAAGTCAATAATGATATGATGTGTGTCTAGGTAATTCATCTGACAATATTAGAACTGCACTCAGAATTAATGTTGATTTGCCAATTCTTTTTTATGGCAACAGTTTCAGAATAAATATTTGTAAAATGTTGCATGTGATTGAACAAATTATTATATTATTTAGTTTTAGTTTGTATTTTGTCCCAAATGTGAAAGTAACAACTTTTATGATATGCATAAAGATAGTGATTCTGACCTTCATTTATTGCAATAGCATTTATTTAGTATTCATACAGACTGTATTCTAGAAAAAAACAAACTGTATTCTAATTTCAGACTTGGATAGATTTATTCACACAGATTCCCCAGACAAACTTTGGTGCATTGATTACAACTGTGGTCTGTGTAATAGGGCTGGTTCTCGTCAAAGAATGCATCAATGCACGCTTCAAAGACAAACTGAAGATGCCAGTGCCAATAGAGCTGATAGTGGTAGGATAGATTCAACTTTAATGAGGGAGGGAGGGGGAAGGGGGAGGGGTATTGTGTCTCTCCTTTCTGATTATTTGCTATTTGAAAATTAAACTGTTGGAATTATTGAAAGATAAAATAATTAAATCTAATATCACAGAGATCTTCAAATCATCCTTTGAAGTTCAATCCAAAATTAGACTCTTACAAACCTGGTCCAACCGTTCTTTGCTTTTTGTGATTTTTATGTCATATGAATATACAGTTTTGCAATTTAAGATTTAAAAGAAGACTGGTTACCTCACCCTATCCATTAATAACAAATAGTTTGCTGAATGGGAATAGAATTAACCAGTCGGGTTTTTGAATTGTTTTCATGCAAATTTATTTCTAACATGTCTTAGACCTGATTAACTGAATGCATTGAATTTGTTTCCAGGTCATTGTCGGAACTGCAGTTTCTCACTTTGCAAAGTTCAACGAGAGATTTGATATGAAAATTGTTGGCAGCATTCCAACTGGGTGAGACACTGAACAACAAATAATTTAATTTAAATAGCCCATTTGGACTTTTTAGTAATTGTAAGTAATTAATAAAAGGGATTAAGTGTTTATTTCACTTTTAAATTCATTTTGATTTCATCAATCTAAGATTGAGTCAGCTTTTAGAAAAGGCTGTGATTAACAATCATGTTTAATTTTTGGGCCTGGATTTGAGGGGAGTTTGAAAGAAAAAACATCTTCATGTACCTCTAAAAAATTTGGAGTTTAAACTGAAAGTAAGATTTTCCTGCTTGATAATGAACCACTGATTTTAGCGTTGAATCAGATTCAGGCTTTTTCTGTGATATACATGTAAGTGTCCATCTATTATCTTACACCATGTAAGAATTGTTTGTTCTAATTCATAGGATTCCACCACCCAAGGCACCACCAATGAACAGGATGGGAGAGTTTGTTGGCGATGCATTTGCCACGGCAATAGTAGCTTTTGCCATCACAATCTCAATGGCAAAGATCTTTGCAAAGAAACATGACTATGAAGTGGACTCAAATCAGGTACAACTCGAAGGTTTAGTAGAAGTATATACAACATGTACAGTTTCCGATTCCACATAAATTCATTAGTGAACGAAAAGAAATGGAATGAGTGATGCCCAGTTGATTTAAATTAATATCTCAAGTGGTTACATATTTTTATGGTCTCTTAATTTTTTTGTGGACAGTGTTTGGCCATTGGTGTTTGGTGTCTGTAACAAATGGCATGTGGATGGTGTCATTTTGCATGTTAATGCCTTGTTGTTTCTTCCAGGAACTTATTGCTGGTGGAATAGTGAATGGTGTGAGTTCATTCTTCAGCTGCTATGTCACTGCTGCGTCTCTGTCAAGGAGTCTTATACAAGATACAGTTGGAGGTGTAACTCAGGTATGTTCTATATGTACACTACAATGAAATATGGGTAAGTGGAACACCTTTGGTACTTCAAAATTATATTCCATTTGGGAGGAGTTCCACGAGCAGAGATTTGTTTTACATTTAGTTAATGGGATAGTGTTGCACTTATTGAGGTGTTCCAATAGCAATTGTGTCCAATTTACTGTATGAAACCCATATACTAAAACATGACGAGAAATGTGATCATTTATGTGGCACAGGATGTGGGATCTTTTAATAAACATGTTCATTTGTGACATATGGTTACATTGATCTAAATGTGCTAGTGTGCAATTAAAATAAAATCATGCCTTGACATGTACATTAGTGGCATGACAGATGTAATTATAACTGACTGAAATGTGCAAGTGCGTCTTCCACATCTATATCACATCATGTTCATTAGTGACATGTTAGATGTAATGATAATTGACCTAAATGTTCAAGTGCGTCATCCACATCTATATCTATATCACACCATGATGCCATGTTGTTGCAACCTTATACTCAGTCTACTTATATATGACTTCTGTAACCATGACAACTGCTGTTTTCCAGGTGGTAGGTCTTGTATCGTGTGTGCTGATACTGGTGGTCCTGCTAGCACTAGGACCACTTTTTGAGTCCCTGCCAAATGTAAGCAACTTTAATATCATCTATACCTCTGTAATTGTCTAGATCATCAATATAAATTACAAATGTTATAGTATTCCAATTTTCTCATGTTAAAATTAAGCCCAGAATACATCAAGGAATAAAAATGAAAAAAGTGTACTGTTAGGATTATTCACTTAGATTTTCTCTAAAAATGATTTTTGGATAAAATTTCTATAGATTAAGCAAATTATGAATGTTTCCAGTGTGTATTAGCCTCCATTGTATTGGTGGCATTAAAAGGGATGTTTCTACAGTTCACGGAATTTAGACGTCTTTGGGGTTGCACCAAGATGGATGCAGTAAGTCCCCCACAATGCATCTGTCCCTCTTCAATGTCCTCCTTTGCTATATTTGCCAGCTTTGATTGGCTCAAAGCATCTTGTCAATATCTGGGCAACTTGTAGCTTTCTTGCTATTTATTGCTCGAATGCTCTTTGTTTAACACAAAATTATTTTTAGTCTTTTTAGTTGAATTTCCACTTGGAAATCTTTGGGAGATCTTTTCACTACTGACTGCTTTTTGGCTACTTCATACTACCACTCTATCTTTCAGATACGCTGCCTCTACCTTTCAGATGCGCTGCTGTGTTGTTTTGACCCAAATACCTACTAACATATATACTTTTCTACCAGTTTCATTTTACCACAGGAATGATGCCAAAGGATTTACACGGCTGTTGATCAATCAGGGTTTCATGAATGTGGATCTGTTGTTTTTACTAGGAACTACTTTCTCACTAACTCCTTATTTTATGTTCCTTTAGTGTGTTCTAGCTGCTATTATCCTGGTGGCTTTGAAAGGCATGTTCAAACAGTTCACAGAGCTACATAGACTCTGGAATGTATGCAAAGTCGACTTTGTAAGTATATGGGCTACACATCAATGTTATATTATGACCTGCACACCAGTGTTACATTATGACCTGCACACCAATGTTACAATATGACCTGCACACCAATGTCACATTATGACCTGCACGCCAATGTTACATTATGACCTGCACACCAATGTTACATTTTGACCTGCACACCAATGTTACATTGTGACCTGCACACCAATGTTACATTATGACCTGCACACCAATGTTACATTATGACCTGCACACCAATGTTACATTATGACCTGCACGCCAATGTTACATTTTGACCTGCACACCAATGTTACATTATGACCTGCACACCAATGTTACATTGTGACCTGCACACCAATGTTACATTATGACCTGCACACCAATGTTACATTATGACCTGCACACCAATGTTACATTATGACCTGCTCACCTATGTTACATTATGACATGCATACCAATGCTATATTATGATACCATGCATTTCAATATAGAGTGATATTTTCCCATTTCCCTTTACTAATAATTCTAATCATTTCTGGAAGTTGTGTAAAGGACAATGGACATACATGTACAGTATTTTGTTACCAAATACTTCTTGAATTTACATTTGTAAGAACTATTAATGTATGTCTTCCCAAAATATTATTTTCAGAAACTACTGTACATGAATAATTATTTAAATAATTGATGAAAAGAAATGTCATGTTCATTTCAAAACATAACGTCATATCATAATCTGTTTGTCTTTGAATTCCAGATGGTGTGGTTGGTGACTTGGGCGTGTACTGTGTTCTTAGATGTTGACCTTGGTCTCATTATTGGGGTGGGATTTTCCCTGCTTACTGTAGTATTCAGGACTCAAAGGTAAACAATTAATAGGAAACAGTTTAGTCCAAAGTATTGTTTGATTCAAATTTATCTGTTGAACATAATAAACTGTGGTTGGAAAATTTCAGGCCTCACACTTGTATTCTGGGCCATGTGGTTTATTTTAATTTGAAACATTTCAGGCCTCACATTTGTATTCTGGGCCATGTGGTTTATTTTAATTTGAACATTTAAGGCCTCACACTTGTATTCTGGGCCATGTGGTTTATTTTAATTTGAACATTTAAGGCCTCACACTTGTATTCTGGGCCATGTGGTTTATTTTAATTTGAACATTTAAGGCCTCAGACTTGTATTCTGGGCCATGTGGTTTATTTTAATTTGAAACATTTCAGGCCTCACACTTGTATTCTGGGCCATGTGGTTTATTTTAATTTGAACATTTAAGGCCTCGCACTTGTATTCTGGGCCATGTGGTTTATTTTAATTTGAACATTTAAGGCCTCACACTTGTATTCTGGGCCATGTGGTTTATTTTATTTTGAACATTTAAGGCCTCACACTTGTATTCTGGGACATATGGTTTATTTTGATTTGAAACATTTCAGGCCTCACACTTGTATTCTGGGACACGTGGTTTATTTTAATTTGAAACATTTCAGGCCTCACACTTGTATTCTGGGCCATGTGGTTTATTTTAATTTGAAACATTTCAGGCCTCACACTTGTATTCTGGGCCATGTGGTTTGTTTTAATTTGAAACATTTTAAGCCTCACCCTTATATTCTTGGACATATGGTTTATTTTAATTTGAAACATTTCAGGCCTCACACTTGTATTCTGGGACATGTGGTTTATTTTAATTTGAAACATTTCAGGCCTCACACTTGTATTCTGGGCCATGTGGTTTATTTTAATTTGAAACATTTCAGGCCTCACTCTGGGACATATGGTTTATTTTAATTTGAAACATTTAAGGCCTCACACTTGTTTTCTGGGCCATGCGGTTTATTTTAATTTGAACATTTAAGGCCTCAGACTTGTATTCTGGGCCATGTGGTTTATTTTAATTTGAAACATTTCAGGCCTCACACTTGTATTCTGGGCCGTGTTGCACATACAGATCTCTACAGAGATGTGCAGATGTATAATGGGGTAAGTGCATTTAAAAAGTCTTGTATCTAAAAGTATAAGAACAATAATTACTGAATGTCTTTATTGAATAAGCTGAGAACAGTCTTGAGGAACGTTTGCAAATCGCATACATGTACATGCACTGATTAAATTGTAAGAGATAATTCTGCACAAAACATTCCTTCTCGTCCCTACAACAGTGATAGATGTTATACCTAATTTCATTTCATACAACTTCTTCATATTTTAGCTGAAAGAGATTCCTGGTGTGAAGATCTTCAGATTTGAGGCATCACTGTACTATGCATCAAGGGAACACTTCAAGGACAAGTTATATGAACAAACCATGTGTAATCCTCGCAAGATAAAGCAGCAGAGAGTCAAAATACAAAGAAAAATTGATAATGCAATTAAAGATGAAAAGAACAAATTCAAAAAATCTCAAAAGGTATGATTCTTCCATGTGTTCAAATAATGAAAACACAGTTAGCAGTTACTCAAATATGTACGAGATGTAACAAATTCAGTTTTATAACAATCATAAAAAGCTCATGTACTTTGTTAAGGAACACAATTTTAAGGTGTACCACGATTTGAAGGTCATCTTATTGTATGCCATTTAAGTTTTACATGAGTCAAAATATTTGTCAGTATTTTTTGTTACGTTCTTGTTAAGGTTAATTTATTTCATTTTAATTACATGTATACATTTAAACAAAAACTGGTAATACAGTTACAATTCAATGTGAATGAAATACAAGTCTAGGTCAGAAGACATTTTTGGCTTTTCACTGTACAATCCCATCTAACCCATCCAAAACAGTTTTACATGTTTTTACTCCTCTATATGGCTACTAATTTTTAGGAATAAAAGATTAATTAAAATTGCAGCATTCATCCAACCTTTCAAATTTTCTTAAATCTCATTTCCAGACAAAAGAGAGCACAGAATTAACTGAGTTTAATCGGGAAGACTTTGAAATAAGGATTAAAGGGGAATACCCGATGCCTTCATTTGAAATTCACCACATTATAATAGACTGCTCCACCATGGGTTATATAGATAGTGTTGGGGTGACGGCTCTTACACAGACCATAAATGAATATAAGGAGGCGGATGTAACAATCTTCCTAGCCCACTGTAAAGGTATGGATTGATGGGTTCACTATATATATGCTTTTTGAATTAAGGAGAGATTCGTGCTGTGCAATTATCTATTACAGTTTAATGTCAGCAATCATTGTAAAGCCATCTGCAATTATCTATTACAGTTTAATGTCAGCAGTCATTGTAAAGCCATCTGCAATTATCTATTACAGTTTAATGTAAGCAGTCATTGTAAAGCCGTTTGCAATTATCTATTACAGTTTAATGTCAGGAATCATAGTTAAAGCCATTTTCAATAATTTGTTACAGTTTAATGTCAGCAATCATTGTTAAAACCGTTTGCAAGTATTTGTTACAGTTTAATGTCAGCAATCATTGTTAAAGCCATTTGCAATTATCTGTTACAGTTTAATGTCAGCAATCATTGTTAAAGCCATCTGCAGTTATCTGTTACAGTTTAATGTCAGCAATCATTGTTAAAGCCATCTGCAGTTATCTGTTACAGTTTATTGTCAGCAATCATTGTTAAAGCCATCTGCAGTTATCTGTTACAGTTTAATGTCAGCAATCATTGTTAAAGCCATCTGCAATTATTTGTTACAGTTTAATGTCAGCAATCATTGTAAAGCCATCTGCAATCATCTGTTACAGTTTAATGTCAGCAATCATTGTAAAGCCATTTGCAATTATTTGTTACAGTTTAATGTCAGCAATCATTGTTAAAGCCATTTGCAATTATTTGTTACAGTTTAATGTCAGCAATCATTGTTAAAGCCATTTGCAATTATTTGTTACAGTTTAATGTCAGCAATCATTGTTAAATCCATTTGCAATGATCTGTTACATTTTAATATCAGCAATCATTGTTAAACCATCTGCAATCATCTGTTACAGTTTAATGTCAGCAATTTATTGTTAAAGTCATGTTCAATTATTTGTTACAGTTGATGTCACTAGTTTTGCGACTGGCATCTGGTATTGGTGTCAGTATAAACAAACTGCTACACTTTTGTTGTATTTTCCAGTATTTCCCCTCAGTCTTCAGATTTACATATACATTGACTGAAAGATGTCAGGTGGTCACATGTTGTCATGTTAATGCCTTGTTTAATTGGAAGTGTACTGTTCTTGTAGCTAATAGTAAATATCACTCATTAGTACAATTGTTTTGTTTCATCCTTACACTGTTGGTATATTATTTCATGTAGGTAATGTGAGGGAGATGTTACATAGAGCTGGGTTCTTTGATCGCCATGATAGAGGTATGATCTTTCCCACTACCCATGATGCAGTGCTGCATGCCCTCGACAACTACCAGGATGTAAAAGCAGATGTGAGTAGGAGTCACTACTATGATTTTCCATAATTTTGGTGTACAGCATACCTTTATAATTTATTTTGAATACACATAAAAAACTCAAGATTTACCTATTTGTATTTAAACTCATCACCAAAGTTATGGAAAATATCTTGTAAAGTTAGAAGTAAAATGCAGTATTATGTTTGTCATGATAGTTTAAATAACTGTACTTATAATTAATCAATCCTTTACAAAAATAGCAATAGCCAGTTGTCTTTTAAAGATATATTCTATATAAACTTGTTTAACTTTTGTCGTTGTGGAATGTGTTTTGTTAACAATTGATTGATAAACATCCAGTTACTATAAGTTGTTGTTCAGCTGCCTGCTTGTGTTTTTATTATTCGAATTTCAAAACTAATCCAAATTAAATAAGATTGAAATCACAATCTTCGTAAAGCTTTTTGAGCTCATGATATACCAAATATATCAGAGATCTTGTGATTTGAAATTTTAGATAACACCCAATAATGTTAACGAATCTTTATGAATCACACCATATCCCCTAATTAAGTACTGAATGCTGAAAAAATGTATAGATATATATACAAGATAAGTATAAAGTAATCCTCTCACCTTGATGGTATCCTAGAATATGTCAGTCAAACCCCTAAAAACCCAAGTACATTTGATTTCACCCCAAACATTTTGAACACTGAAGTATTCCCCTCTCTCGACCCCTCCACAGCTATAAGCTATAACCTAACCTAAAAGTATTCCCCAAAATATTATTTTGAAACAGTAATTATAATCTACAGTACTTAAGCAACTATGATAGTGCTCTTTGCTTGTCTTTGTTTGAATTCTGTTTCCTAAGACTAAGAATGCTCCCCCAAGCTCTTCAATAAGGAATCTATTATAGAAGATTATGTTTAAGTATTGTTGCCCATTATTACATGTTGAGTCTCTTACAGAGTAACGGAGGTGTATCTCTTAGAGAAAAAGTAAGGCTTGTTATGTTTTTATCTTGGAAATTTGATCATGGGTTGAAATGATCTCCTAAAATTACCCTAGTAACATCTACACTAAAAACACAACACTAGGATATGGTAGTTTGGTGGTAACTTTGATACACATGTTTTTTTCCATATCTTTCTTTCCAATATACCAGTAGATGTTGATACTAATCTAGCACATGTTGATTTCTTGGAGTTCTATACAATAGATGTAGTTGTTATAGTAAAAACTATGGTTTTTGTTTTACTTTGAAATTACCTATTTTTATTTTTGACTTATTTGCTTAACCCATGTGTAGCATGTTGCTTCTCGTATGTGAGTATGTCACTGTTTCAAAGCACCTGGTAGTGGTAAATCATATGTAGAGGCATCAGACCGAGGTGGGTTGGGTGGCATGTGTATTACAAACATTTGCCAATATGATTCCAGTGAAATTTAAAATGGCCAGCACTTTTACCATTGAAAATCACTCTGTTCAGACAGTGTATGTAATGCATTCATTCACATGAAGTTGTATATGTAGTTTAGTTTATTACTAATAAGGTCAAAATGGATTTTGAAATATCACCTTTTGGCCATAGTTTAAAAGCTCAAACTTTTATTGAAAACACATCACCCTGCATGCCCAACATCAGCTTTTACCAAGGTGTGGTTCATGTTTAAAAAATTCCTCGGGGAGTTCACTTTTAACAACTTTGGCCCAAAAGTGGCCATAACCACTTGAATGGTGAAAATTTGAATGATCCCCCACCCCTCCCCCTAGCTGAACTGAATGTTCTCGGACAGAGCAATCTACTGGGATGGATCTAACCAAGAACTTAAAAGACCAGTTGCCTGCATTGCAAATCACTGCAGGCAGACCTCTATTATACCTGCTTCACCATTGACATACTTAAATGCATAAGCAATGTAAATATATTGGCATACATAAATGCAATGGCATATTTATATGCATTGGCATATTTACATGCATTGGCATACTTAAGAAGCAACATGTTACTCACCATTTACATGTAACTAATTTACTAATCTTAATCAAGGCAAATTGATATTTTTTTAATGTTGAAATTATTATTTGTTATTTTAAATGTATATTGTAATGTAAAAGTTAGAATGATGCTAACCAAATGCTCAGAATGTTCATCATAATAACCTAATACTAAAAGTTGCTTTTTGTTATTTGCATCGAGTGTTGTTTATTTGTTTAAAAAATGTAATATTTGTTGTTGTTTTGATTATTATACTAATCAAATAACATGTATACAGGATATATCATCAATGAGGTTTGTATTGTTTTATAGTTAGAACGAGACTGTGTGTTTTTGGGTAGTGCCATATCGTATACAGGAAGTGGAAATTTATATGACGACGAAGAGATCCAGGGGGCCAATAACATTCCAGAAATAACTATAGAGGATGCAAATGAGGATACAAAATCAAAGAAAAATGGTGGTCTAACAGTAAGTAATAGTATTCATTTGAGATGAATGAGACTGGTCAGTAAGAAATATTTACTGATTTAAGATTTCAAAACTATAAAATGCATTTTAAAAACCCATGTAATACATGTAAGTATTTTGATACATAATTAGTACATATTTATATCTATTAAATCTACAAGTTTCAATCCTCTTTTAAAGACGTCAAGTTTCAATCCATTTTTAGAAAATTACAAGTTACTGGAGTTCATATCTGACCTTTGATTGTAGAGTTCACCATTTGTTAACCTTCATAAGTTAAAAACACCTTCCAGCCTCTGTTAGCCTGGAATCTTGCTGTCTAGTTATTTATTGTGCATTATATTTCAGGAACCTTTAATGGATAGTGGTGCAAAGAAGCTTTGACCTACACATAAACATGTGTAGTCTTGTATATATTATATATAGGTAAGATATTTATATGTGTAATATGTATTATGGATATACAGTTTAGAGATAATCCCATATGAGGTTCAGGATATTGGGATTACCCCGATGCCAGTAAAATATATCTGCCTGAGGGGTAGAGGTCCCAATGGGAATATAGAGATTATCCTATGTGAAGTTCAGGATATTGGGATTATCCACAGGCCAATGTAATATATCTGCCCGAGGGCCGCAAGTCCTGAGCAGATCGCGATTGTCTGCCTTTTTCTCCATTGTCGTTTAGAGTTATTATGCAAACATTACAAAAATGATATGCGAAAGTCGATTATGATGTAGCGGGCGTATATCTGCCTGCTCGGAGTGGGACGTGAAACTATATCTGCCCGCTGATGAAAATATACGTTTTTACAAACCTCCTGTACCTGTAACACGTCCAAGTATGGGATAAGTGTATTTTATTCCATAATAACATGTTTTCCCTGGGAAATAAACAGGGAATAGAATTGATATTCAAGAAATCCCATATCAGATCCCGTATCAGCAAAAATCCCATATCAGATCCCATATTTGATCACATATCAGCCAAAATCCCATAGATCTCAGATCAGAAATATTCCTGAGGATTTCTCTTGATCTTTATACTTTTCGTTCTGTTTTAAAATGTATTAATAAAAGTTGAAAAATGTTATATGATAAATCAAATGTATCATTTTATGTCACCATCATTGGGTGATGACAAATCGAACTTTAAATGAATAAGTTTCAGAAAAATTATTATAGAATAAATAGGTTATTGATGGTCGTGATGGAATATGAATTTTTTTGGGTGATGACAAATCGAACTTTAAGTGAATAAGTTTCAGAAGAATTAGAATAAATAGGTTATTGATGGTCGTGATGGAATATGAATTTTTTCCTCGAGAAAATATGATATTAGCCTCAGAAAATATCATATTGACACTTGGGCTGTCACCTCGGTCAATATGATATTTTCCTTGGCCAATATCATATTTTTCCTCGGAATAAAATTCATATTCCATCCCTCCCATTAAATGACCTCTATATATTACATGTTCAGTATACTGCCAATTGATAATTCCAATATTGTGAATCGACTATACATTGGATATTATGTTTGTACATATATTTCAAGAATATATGACATTTTCTGGAGTTTGGATAGGCCTAACGCATTATTGTATTCTACTTCCAGGTGAGCTTTACAGGTATATACAGATTGGTAACCTAATTAAAAACCTTAACTGTTTCGCTATTATATATGCCCTAGTTAACATGCACAAGAAGCCCCTATCAAGTTCCCTTAATAATTTAGATATTCATATCTACTATCACTGTGCTGCTGAGCTTGCTTATATGCTTGAAAATGTTAGGAAAGTATAATGAGGGAAAAATCTGGATTTTCTCTCATGCAAATGCAGACAACAATATTTAAGGTGCACTTAGTTAATATTGAGGTTAGGCTACATGTTTTTATGGAACTTGTGCACAAAAGAGTGAAATACTCTGGCCAGGATTACTGTCCCTCTCAATTGAATTTTCCAGGGACCTAATTACATCTTTTTACCTTTACACTCAATCGGGTTAGCAAATGATTTAAAGGGGGAACTAGTCCTCTGAAAATCATAATTCTACATATTCAAGGCATTAAAACATGTAACTTCTCCTTCTTATTATATACCTGTATATACCTGTAAAACAGTTGGATGACCAATAGTCCAATACCTTAGTAAACATTTATCTAAGGTATGCATTGAAGTTCTCCCTTGACAAGTTGCCACTCTCCTTTCATCCCAGGAAAACTTGCAGTGCACTATTGGATTTCATATTAATAAAGACTGATAGCATTCTCTTCCTTTCAGGTTATATCTGGGGGATATTCCAAGGTCAATGAGTACAATGCCAGAATGAATGGGATTCATGATGTTAAGGTCAACCCAGAGGTCAAGGTCACCCCAGATGTCATGGATGAGACTCCAAAACTCAATGGAGGTCCGGGGTCTGTGGAGCATGTCTACAACATTGTGAATGAAGATGAAGAACTTAGACAAAGGAATAATAAAACAGATAGTCAGACTCGGCTATAAATGCAAACCTTCTAGTCTTCACATCCCTAGTGATATGCTTTGACCAAACCATGATACCATACTCTCTCATCAGTATATCCTGTTCTTGGGCATAGAGAACCAATGAATTGTTTATAAAGTTGAATCAAAATTAAGCCTGTGAAATCAATCAGTATTATATATTAACAAGTATATCGATAGGTGGCATCTACAATACAATAAGAACAAAAAAAGTATTAGAGCATAATAATTTATTTATTTACAGTTTTGAAGTAAATATTTTACATAATAACAAGGTAGAATACGGCATAATGTTAATGGGCCATTGGTTGAGTAACCATGGTATTTAGATGAAGAAGAGGATCAGATGTGTTAAAAGGAAAGTACTCCAAGGTACTGCAACTTACAAAAAGATAATTTCTTGGTGTTAAGGCTTCCAATTTACAAAATTTTATGTGGAATGTTTGTTAAAAATTGTGATAAAAAACCAAAAAAAAAATGATTGGTCCTCTCTGTCTCATTTGAACTCTATTATTATGAAATATCAAAGGCAGTACTTTGTTCCCATGAATCCTGAATGTGTTGGTCACATGACTTATATGGAGGATCATGGGAATGAGATGCCTCTTGCTGATACAATCATTATATCAACTGGCTGTGAAAGACACTTTATAGTGTGTCATTTTAATAATGTGTCAATTTCATAAAATGTAAGTGAATTAATATACATGTATATCATGCCATAAAATGTAAGAAATTATATTCAATAGACATCATCATCCTTGGTCCAAGAGTATTTCACTTCTTTCCATACCCTTCATGCAGCTGATACATTAAATCACCAGCCAATCAGAACAGTTGTTACTTAATCAAGGGTCAAAATGTTCACAGTGATAAACACAGGCAATATGTGCTCACTAATGAGTTTATTGCCTAAGTCTGAATGCATTTCTTGTGAAGAATCCAATTCATACGTAATTTGCATCTCATTAGGGGTCATAAACAGAAGGAGGACAAAACATCCCCATTGAATTATGTATAGAACATTATGATTGGAGAATGCATTTTCTGCATTGACCACTAAGAAACTCAGCTTATTTATCACCCCTAAAATGAAACTACCTGGCCTTGCATGAAGGGCTGAATTGAGTAATAAATGAAGTCCTTTGAATGAAGGATGGACATCATGCATTTGAAATACCAGTGAAAATGATTATGTACACATATAAACATAGGCTATAGTTCCATTGTTAAAAGATATGGTTAGTCAATGTATACAGTGTGTCAGCAATAATCAATGTCTGATAGGGAGTCGTCTCTAAGATTTTAGACTAAATCCTACAAATTGTCCATTACTTGCCATATTTGTCAGTAAAACAGTTTCATTGAATATAACTGTATAAACTAGTACTATAAAGAGATCTTCCACTTAATCTGAAATGGGACCCTGTGTCTTGTTTATTTGGTGATTGTGTTTTTACTACAGAAATGTGCCATAACTAGATTTGTTGATTGTTTTGCCATTGGTGTATTAATTGTATATACATGGGTGTTTATTTCGTAATGGATGGAACATTTTTCAACTCAACCAATTAAATCTCAATATCATGTAATTTTTTGTTATGGTCTATTCCAAATCTACAATTGTAGACTTTATATTGTTTTGAGAAAATGGATTTCATTAAATCTAAGTTAAGAAATAGACTTCCATTGCAAATAAATTCAACATGTCCCCAGTTAATTGCAACTCATGTTAAAGACAAGACTGGCAGGACTATATACAAATGTATGTATCCCTTGACATGTAGAATAGTCAGACTTTTTAAGTTTATTTACCATTGACCAAAGTAAGAGTTACTTTTACAGTAACCATATTCAGTATTTATGTGAATAATTTTATGAGACCATTGATTTTCTGATTTACACTTATAGTACCATTTCATTACAGTATGAGTTTTGGTGCCATATTGTGCACAGATTGTATATATGCTTATAAGTACAGTATCAACCAATAGTAAACTGTAAAACTGTTAGTCATAATGTTGAATTGATTTTATTCAAATTATTGTTTTTTACATAAACTTATAAAGTACCTACATTATAAAATGAGTTGTGGTACCGCTACTACCGCATTGCCCTTTTATGTTCCAAAAGTAAAACTGATCAGTGAAAAATTTGATGTGAAGACTATTCTCGCTACATTCTGAATGACTTTCAATAAGACTAAATTTTTGGGTGTCAGATTAACACAGAATTTGCTAAAATCAACTTTTTACAATTTACAGTATAATTTGTTTCCACTATACTGTTTAAGTTAGACTAACTGAGATTATTAGTATGTGTACATTGTAGACACATCATTGCAAATAAAGTATAAAATATGATACACAAGAAAAATGTAGGTGGAAATAATGTAATTAATGAATATGTAAAATATATATATATATATCAACCCATGCTCATGTAGGTATAAACTGCAGTAGGTTATGATTATTGACAATTTTGAATAATTATGAATAATTATTGAAATTGTTTTGATCTTTTTGCCACTGGTTTATGCTGATGAAGGCTGTGAGGGACTAAGGTTATTCTATATCATGTATACTAGTACAGTAGTAGATAGTATTGTTATATTATTGTATCTACTATCTATATAATCAGATTATTGAATAAATGCTAAATACTGGAATGTTATTTGTTGTTTTAAGTAGAATTTATTTTATCGTAATGAAATTACAACCAATCCATCACAAATATCAAGATGTTCATACACAGATATCTTTGAATTTGCTCTGTATTACCAATATACTTTCATGAATAATTCAAAAAATGAGATTCTGAAGCCTTGACTACATTCATTCAAGAGGATGGTGTATCCCAGAATTCATAGATGAAGATAACCTTTAGAGGTTCACTTTATGAGCTCATCTATGAATTCTGGCCTATTTCATCCTCTTCATTAACTTGGAGGAAAGGGAAGTTGTGAAATCATAGCAATATTACTGAGAGGAATGGCATATATGCATAACAAACAAAAACAGGGAATTTATTTGCAAATTGTCACTACCTGCCATTCTTACAGTTGCTGAACACCATCCAAAAAAGATGGAGACTAAAACAATATGTCACCACTTCTGGTGGTGACATGAAAACTGCATTTTTATGATGGTTTATTAACTAGTATCATGAATAAATTAATATTGAGCATGCAAAGTATTTATATTTTTTCAGACATTTTAATGTTTGATTGTGCTTTAATCTGGCATCAATGTGATTGTGCTCAAATCCCAAATCAATGTTTCATTCAATTGATTGTGCTCTGCGACCCTACATTGATATCTGACCTGCTGACTGTGCTTTGATCTTGATTTTACATCAATGTTAACCAATGTTTGAGTATGCCTTGATATTTGATCGTGCACTGATCTTGTGTCTATATTTGATTGTGCTCTGATCTTGTGTCTATATTTGATTGTGCTCTGGTCAATGATTAATTGCATCTCAGTGAGTGTTTGATTGTGCTCTGGTCTTGCGTCTTTGTTTGATGATTATACGTTGATCTGGAGTTGATATTTTTGAACTGTGCACTGATCCTCAGTCGATGTTATTCAATAATCAGTTTTACAGTGATAAACTGTAAATCAGATAATGATCGATCCCCACTAGATTTCTAACGAGAAACAACTTCCACACTTTCTCCGAATGACAACAAATGCATGCGAACACTTGTGTGCTTGTGGATCTTTGTTAGCTTACTTGGGGTATACGTTTTGAAGCCATATTCTTAATTCAAGATATCAACGATTAAACAACACAGATCTAGCAGATTTGGTTTTTGGTGAGATTTTCTACCAGAGACAGCGAGAATGATCAAAGATTCTAATCTGAAAAAAATATATCAAATCTACACAAAAATAAACAAATGACATCTGGATTTTCTATTGCACAGTAAAATTTTAAATGTTTGGAACTACTTTGAATTAAAAATAATCCTGTGCCAGGACTATAGTCCTGGACCGAGCACAATCTTTTGCCTGTACGATTACAACTTGGGAGAATTATCTACGCCCCTTACACTTAAGATACCTACTTCAATAGATTCCTTGGTATTTTAGCATTCTTTTCGTGTAGTTGATTCCACAATTGTCTGGGTATATCGGCAGAACAGGAACATTTTTTTCACCGAGAGAGATTCCATAAATTTCAAGATGGCGGTTGGATTTAAAAGGGGATTCCCCGTTTGACTGGCCCGGAAGTACCAATAAGTGGAGGAATTTGACGGTTGAAATAAGTTAAATATTATATATTGTGGATTCAACTACACGAAAAGAATGCTATAATACCAAGGAATCTATTGAAGTAGGGATCTTAAGTGTAAGGGGAGGAGATAATTCTCCCAAGTTGTAATCGTACAGGCAAAAGATTGCGCTTGGTCCAGGACTATAGTCCTGGCACGGGATAAGTCCTAACTTTTATATATTTTAGTTTGTTTTGTAGTTAAGCTATCATATCTGTGGCCTCTTATATTTTGATGCTTCTCTGCCATGTTATTTTCGGAAAAATCAACATGGCTGAGACTCCCTAAATTACGGAAGGCCACGGCTTTGCTGCACAGTATACATAACTATCTGAAATATACAAAAGTTAGGACAAGTACATATGTTTCTATTTCTATTTTTATATACTATAGCAATATAGTCATTTGATTACTTATTTTTTAGTAGTTCCAAACATTTAGAATATTACTGTAGTCTATCCCACAGTAAAATTGTAAATGTTTGGAACACAGGAACTTGTAGCACATATGATATTAGATGCTTATGTCAGATCTGAGTCATATATATGTATAAGACTTATATATATAAATGACTCAGATCTGACATAAGCATCTAATATCATATGTGCTACAAGTTCCTGTGGTTCGGAACTACTTTGAATTTAAAAAATAAGCAAACAAATGACTATATTGCAACAGTATATGAAAAATAGAAACAAATGTACAAGTCCTAACTTTTGTATATTTCAGATAGTTATGTTGTTGTGCAGCAAAGCAGAGGCCTTTTGTAATTTAGGAACTTTTGGCCATGTTAATTTTTTCGAAAATAACATGGCAGAGAAGCATCAAAATATAAGAGGCCACTGATATGATAGCTAAACTTCAAAACAAACTAAAATATACAAAAGTTAGGGCATGTATAAATGTTTCTATTATTTTTACATATTCTTTTTCAATATGGTCCTTTAACTGCTAATTTTTTAGATTCAAAGTAGTTACAAACATTTAAAATTTTACTGTAGTGCTGATACAATATAATAAAGGGTGCATTTTCAAACTAAACAGAGTGCTCCCAAAATGGATTTGCCTACATACTGTACCCTTGAGACTCTTAGGGGAGGCATCAAAAGATCAATGTCTGATAGAAAACTAAATAAATCTAGTTTGGGGGAGGGGGTCAAAGCTATTTCAGTTTGCTATCCGACAAATTTCAACATTTGAATTTTGGGGAATTTCAACTCGAAATGCCTTGGAATGGTTTAAAAATAAAGACTTTACCAGATGCCTTCTTCACAAATATGCATGCAACATGGAATATTATGCCTATTGTTGTTGGCATATGTTTTAAGAATCATGAATAAGTTCTAGTACTACCCCCATAAAAGTCCAAATTGAGTCGCAAAAACATGTGAAAGTCCGCGATCAACTTTCATTGTATTAAGTTTTGAGGGGGAGGGGGGGGGGGGGGTCCAACTCAAAACTAGATTTATTTAGTTTCCTATCAGACATTGAACTTTTGATGCCTCCCCTTATCTGATAGATAGAATGCACAAATAAAACAGACGTTTTGCTATTATATAGTGCTGATACAAAATAATAAAGGGTGAGTTTTCAAACTAAACAGAGTGCTCCCAAAATGGATTTGCCTACATACCCTTGAGACTCTTATCTGATAGATAGAATGCACAAATAAAACAGACATTTTGCTATTATATAGTGCTGATACAAAATAATAAAGGGTGAGTTTTCAAACTAAACAGAGTGCTCCCAAAATGGATTTGCCTACATACCCCTGAGACTCTTATCTGATAGATAGAATGCACAAATAAAACAAAAGTTTTGCTATTATATAGTGCTGATACAAAATAATAAAGGGTGAGTTTTCAAACTAAACAGAGTGCTCCCAAAATGGATTTGCCTACATACCCCTGAGACTCTTATCTGATAGATAGAATGCACAAATAAAACAAAAGTTTTGCTATTATAGGTAAAAAGTTCTCTTCAATTTCGAAGTGATTTTACCTGTTAATTCTGTCATCGGTCCGCCATTTTTGCGGAAGTTACACTGAAACACAAACTACATGAAACAAAATGAAATCAGTAGAAAAAAACATGGCACACATTGTGGGCATGCGCATTAAAGTTTAAACCAATCAGACTATTTGATTATTTTGCGCTCATGAATTATTTCTGAGCACTCCCTTACTTTATTTTAGCAAAATTTCAGCTCAAACTCGTGACAAATGCATTATGCATACGCTGGTATGAAGTCTTGGAGACACTCATTTTGGTAAATATGATTTACGGTGTATACTTTTCTGCGGTTTGTGGTAGTTTGGGACATTGAATGTTAAAATTCAAGAAAATATGCCAACTATACGAGTTATCAATTAATTTGTATCAGCACTGTAATCCCATACTGGTAGTGGTAAGTAGATTATGTGGTTACATCATATCATTTCGTTATTTTAACCATATGAACTGCTTCCCAGAATAGAAAATAAAACCTTACAAGGCTGAAAGAAGTCAGCTTTAGTCTTAGCAGGTGTGTTCAGTAACTATACGTCTATTGATCTATATTGTTATTATCTCCAACTTTTTTGTGGAACGTGCTAAACAGTCGGCATTTAGTGTTTGGCGCCATTTGGTGGATGGCATCTGTCACAAATGGCAGGTTTGCATCATAGGGGCATTCTCAGCCACATGGTATTTACTTGATAATCCCTTAATGGCATCAGTTGAGTCTTGTTAGACCCTGATATATAATTATATATCACCATGATATCACGGTATCGATAAAACAATGTGTCTAATGTGAAGTTTCATTTAAATCAAAGACTCATTGAAGATTGCCAGGCATTGCCCCATGACCGAGAATATATGTACTCTAATGCCTTTTGTTAGAAACTTTTTTTAATGCATATCTGTCCCTTATATACTCCCTTTAATCATTGTTCGAAGTTCTAAATGCTAATCACAAAAACTCCCAACATCATTAAAGGCCCCATGTGAAATATGTTTTTATCATTCCTTACTATTTGTAATGACTTTAAAAGTTATTTAAGGGATTTTTAAAGGAGTGGTTGATATGGCGAACTTTTTGAACACACGTTTCTCTTAAACCAGTCATAAAAAAATCTATAAATTTAACACATCGCCAATTTAATGGTCATCTTTTGAATGGTAACAATATAATTTGAAAAATATATATATGCTTTCATCTATATTGTTTTAGAACATGTAGAAAACACTTGTTTTGTTCTTGGTATCATGTTTCCAGAGTGAAATGAAACATCTTTCCGAACCTCATTGGAACAAAACGACATAAACACAACATGTTTAGGTCTCTCAATATTGTAATTATACAAAGGAAATTTTGGTTGATTTTAAAAAAGTATCTTGTTAATGAAATAAAAGGTTTATCTTGATTTTTATCTATTTTGGGGGGATTTTGTTTTAATTTTTTGAATACTTTTTTAAATCAACCAAAAATTCCTCTGTATAACTATAATATTGAGAGGTCTAAAAACATGTTGTATATGCTATTTTATTCCAACAAGGTTCGGAAAGTCATTTTATTTCATTCTCAAGAATTGGTAGAAAGGAGCAAAAACAGTTGCACTAAAAAACAAAAAATGTTAACAAAAACAGTTATATAAAATATTTCTAAATAATTTTTGCATTAAATTGTTGTCAATCAGTCAACAGTAAATGCAGTGTTTATTTCAGAATGTTTTCAATGATTGGTTTAAGAGAAAAACATTGTTGAATTCAGTTCTCCATATCGATACCACTCCTTTGCAATTTTTTAATCATCAAATATTCCACTTTGAGTGCAATACATGTACACATTATCTTTTTTAACACCATTTTAGATTTGGTACATAGCAATACTATGTCTACCAATGACTGGCCTGGTATTCTAGGAGACTTTGAGCATCTAGGACGCCCTGACCAGCCTAGCCATCAGTATAAGGAAGAGTCATATGAGCACTGTACAACAGCCCTGGAGTCTTACCATCATGCTGCACATGCTCTAATATACGCAGATGATGACAGCATCAAATTCAAATTCTATCCAGCTAGAGCTGCCATTATGGTAAATATACAAGCTAATCAAGTTGATACTGCAGGGGTTTCACTAGAATTTCTAACAACAGGCTAAATAAATTAAAACCGCTGGCAAAATTAAAGGAAATCATGAATTTAACATGGAAAAGTTGAAAAGTCCCTAAAAAGAACAGGCAATTTGGTGAAAACAACCTGTGAAAATCGCCTGTTGCCTGCTGCTAATGAAACCCCTGTACTGACAAAGGTCCAGTTTTATAAAAGAGAACTGATTTCATTAAAGGTAATCTGACTGAAAAATTGACCTTTATGCTTGGTGATGAGACTTTTTCAAAATGGGGGCAAGACTATTTTAGATTATTTGATAGCATTGTAAAACGCTTTTTAATCCAATTGTACAAGGCCAGAGATTTATGCCTTTGATTATTTTAGTATATGCAACATTGTTTTAAAAAAATATACACGACTTTGTATTTTATTCATATTGTATACAATTTTCTTGAATTCTCCAGATGCATACAATTTTCTCTAATTCTCCAGATGCAGATGCGCTGTGATGGCTATGTGGGGTTCCCAGGTGGCATGGTAGATGATGGAGAGAATATAGAAGCAGCAGTCAATAGAGAACTCAGGGAGGAAATAGGACTCAACTTGAAAAAATACGAAATCACGAAGGAGGACCATTTTATGAGTCAAGTCAGTGAATTTAAGAAGTTGTGTCTTCATTTTTATGTGAAGAAAGTGACATTAGAAGAATTCTTTGAGATTGAGATGGATTGTCTGAGAGCCCCTGACCATGGCACTGAGGTAAGTGATAGCCATCTATTGTAATATGATATTAATTTGTTTTGTAATCTAATATTAATTTTGGTATTGTAATCTAATATTAATTTTGGTATTGTAATCTAATATTAATTTTGGTATTGTAATCTAATATTAATTTTGGTATTGTAATCTAATATTAATTTTGGTATTGTAATCTAATATTAATTTTGGTATTGTAATCTAATATTAATTTTGGTATTGTAATCTAATATTAATTATCATTCTGAGGTACCGTGGTAGATGATAGTTGAGGTCATGTGACCTTTTCAAAGATAATCCATAAGAAACTGTTCAATAGAAAAAAATTCCCTAAATTGCATTTATAACTCTAAATAGATATATAGATGTCATTACTATCAATGTAGATTGCCAGTCGTTAGAATTAGAAATAAAATGCAGATGCAAAACTTGATTAAACGATTTTTTGGGTGCAATGGTGAGGTCATCATATTGATTATTAAGACATATCTACATGGAAAGAGGAGACTAGTGTGCATTAATGCGAGCGAAGCAAGGACCAAAAGGGAGGGGGGGTATTAGGGTTCACCCCTGAAATTTTTTAAAAATTTACATTGCAGGGGTTTCACTAGAATTTCTCATAACAGATTAAATATATTTCGGCCATTTTGATAAGAGGTGAAACCTCCCTCGTTTCCTGTTCATCGCCAGTGAATATATTGCCAATCTATGCTCATACATATTTTTTCACAATGACATGATAAGTTTCATAAGGATATGGGTTGTATGGCTGTTGGTTACAACCAGCTATAAACAAGCAAGTCACAAGTATGAATTCTTTAATTTGATAGCCTAGCCCCTGTGCAGATTCAGTTTTGATAAGACATTCAATGTTGATTTTAATAAAACATGTAATTTTTAATGACATAAATTATCTTCTACTATTTGAATATTTTTCTTCAATATGAATGTTTTATCACTACGTGTACTTTTAAATTTATTTTGAGCATGTATTGAAACCATCTGGTTCCCTTTTGAAACTACAATGAATGGTACAGATTTTTTCAGTTCAGTGAGTTGACAATGAGCTACTAGATTGGCATTGAAACCTACTGAAATATGCAAAGGTTTTGATGAATGAGCAACCAATAATGTCTATTGATTAATCTAGCTCTTGCCGCATGTCATATCGACAATATGAGTCACTGGTTAAAGCAGTTTCATTACTGCAGCATGTTAATATATTCGATCAATAAAAACTGATGCCAAATGCAGGAAAAGTGTTCAAAGTATCGTCGAGATGATAATCGTAGCATTAGTGACAACGGTTTGCCTTGTTCATGCTGATAATATAGCAGTTAAGCCATCTGATGTGATCACAAACATTGGGAATGATATAACACTACCATGCCAACTTGCAGAAGGAGTAACACATGAATATGTTTCATGGTATGAGTTCAATACGAAGGAGAATGGATTCCAAATATTTAAATCCAATGAACCAGACAGGGTTCAGAACTCAGACAAGTTTGAAGTTGACACCATTAAAGCGAAGTATAACTTGAAAATACTGAATGTATCTATTGAGGATGCTGGGAAATACACCTGTCAAACATTTCTAGAACAACAGCGATACCCAGCCTATGTCACTGTTTATGAGCCACCCTTGTGCGACTATGTCAGAGCAAGTGGGAGTAGTATGACATTAATGTGTAATATCAGATACACTGGCTTTGCCAAACCATCATTGAAATGGTTCCGGAATGGCAAGGAGATGCACTCAAATATGGCTTATGATATTGATGATCAGAGCGCAACTATGAATGTTACGTTTGATGTCTACCATGCAGACATTGGTGTGAACTTTACCTGTCGCGTGAGCAGTACAGACCAGCCTAAATATGTCGGGGATTCATGTACAACCATACTGAATTGGAATGATAATGAAGTAAAGGCTGCATATAGACTATCTGCCGCTGAACTTGTCATTAGAGATCAAGGTCTTTTCCTTATTTCTCTATTGGTTTTCTTTTGTGCCATAGGCTAAGGGTTAGACCATTGCTTGGGGTGCAACCTTTCTAGAATACCATGGATCTGATTATTAATGAAAAAGTGTGACTTGTAAAATGTGGAAGATAGAAAAATCATCATGATTTGTATGGAATCTCAAGGTCAAGATTCAGACCATCAAAAGATACATTGAGTGTAAAAGATGAGGCTCCCAAGATCTATGTTCAGCTCTAATCAGAACTAGAGGATGGAGGAGTATTAATAAATGGAACTAGTATGTACAATTATAATATGGCTTCATAATGTAAAATAATTACCACATTGGAAATAGCTGCAATTATTATATGCATAGTGATCACTGCGATTCTCAGAAGTAATGTACATAATTTATGATCTGATGTATCCAATATTTTCCAATATGCTCAACACTTACAGATTGAATCAATGATTAATAATATGAAAACTAAAAACCCAATGAATTCATATTAATTTTTAATCTACAGTGTCTAGGAAATTTCAAAATATAAATACATTGTATAAATGTACAAAAGTAAATATGATTGATTTGATAAATCCTGCCCTGTAGGCCTACCCCTCTACAGCCAAAATCAGGATATACTGTATGGTACCAAGGGTGATATATCATTGGAAATATCATCCAAAGTTACATTGATTTGCATATATCTGCTATCCGTCAATCATGTGTCACAGTTGCTGCATTGTATCAATTAAGGTGACCACTGACCTAGAAATATGGCAATTTGGCATATTTGGCAGCAGACAAGTCAAAAGAACTCGAGATGACAACATTAATATGGCAGTGAATTTAAACAATTTGTATGGTTGGATATGGTTAGATGTTGATGGCAATGGAGAGTGATGGAGACTATATTTTGTAAGAAGTAGATTGCAAAAAGATGTAATTTGACATATTGTTGAGGCATATCCTTCTCACTTTGACACTATATAAGCTGCTAGAGGGGGCACAAGAACTATCAAAGACCTTGTGATATTTTTTCCAATGATATATTACACTAGATACCATCTATTAGGTTTTAGCTGTAGAGGGGGGACTTATTTGACACCTTGCATAAGGGCACTGTACATTGCACCATTCACATGTACATGAATTAAGATGTTTGAGATATGGAAGATTACAAAAATTGTATGCTTGAGGTTTAATTCTTTTGCAATTTAATATTGCATTTAGCAGAACATTAGATTGATATTGTACCACTGATTTATAAATGTAGTAAGTCTGCATATCATTTTTGACTATAAATAGACTGCATCTTAAGCAACTTTGGTCATATTTTAAAAATAATGTTTAAAATGACATTTTAATCAGAATTGCTGCTCATATTATCAAGATGTTAATTCCAATTGAAATATAAACATTTTAGCTTTGTGCTGATGACTTGTCTGGCAAAACGTGATTATATTGCTAGCTTATCTTTTTTTAGTCATGTTGAATTTCATGTCAAATGACATATATTTTTGTATCTATTTATTGTAGTTAGCTTAGGGTGGTTTTGGCTTATTTTTACACTGTGCTGTACACTGTAAGATAATATTTCATTGTTATGTAGTATGTTATAGTACTATTTTATACTCATTTTATGTACTACAATTATTGTATGTATTAAAATTATTGTATGTATTACAATTATGTTGTTAACAATAAATGTCTTACATGTATAACATTTATCTTGAGTCTTATCCATGCATCTTATCCATTACGTCATCTAAAAAGGTATAGATTAAACAAAAATTTTATGTTGAACTATAATCTTTATCTTTTCTGTTTTGAAAAAATGTCTTATAAAATATATTCAATAAATCTTGTCATTAGGATTCCAGGAACACTGCTTGGTGGTACGCATTTTCGAGAATACCAACTTTATACCTCCTTTAATAGTCCTCTATATACTACTTTACATTAAATATTATTATTATGAGCTTTATTATACTTGTATCCCACATTTGGGCAAAGTGTACAGCTTAAACAGAAGAAAATGAAAAAGCTTAACTAATTATCTATATAGTATATTAACTAATCAAAGGGTGCTTGATCATTGCAAGATTTTATTGGATGCATTTCGTGTTTTTTTCTCTCTCGATAAAAATATTGGATATATATTTTGCTAGTATATTTAATATTATTCCCTCTGAATTAAATAGAAACATTAATTTATGTTCCACGTTATTCATGTTTTCTAAATTTTGACAGTGTTTTTTTATTTTATCCATATAACTCGACCGAACATCTTTTAGCGTATTGCATTCTAATAGGAAATGGCATTCTGAACCAGTTTTCTTGTTACACATTAAACATTCTCTTTCTTCAATAGGGGTAATTGGTTTTGTGTAACGACCTGTTTCGATTTCTAATTTATGTGCGCTAATTCTTAGCTTTGTCAAGTTATTTCTGTCTAATTCATTTTTGATTAAATCCAAGTAGGGTTCCTTGTTCCATTTTGCTTTTATTATCTTATAAAACCTCAATTTACCATTATTTGATTTTATTTAAATTAGTTTCCCAAAATTGTATGTATCTATTTTCCAGTAATTTCTTAATTTCTCTTGGTTTTAAGTTTAAATAGTTTGGTGAAGTACCATTGTAAATATATTTAAGTACATCATTGATGTGCGTGAGCCATGATTGTTTATTCATATCTGTCAGTTGTTTATTTACCTCAAGGGCTTCACGTAGAAGTGAGTCGGTTCCTTTATTGTTAATATGATTAAGATATTTCATTTGTTGATAAAACAAAGAAATAAATAGTGGAAACCTACCTAAATCGCCTCGTGTAGCGTCATTACTGGCCTTTCTGTTAACACCGAGTATCGATTTCATAAATGATATATGAAGAGATTCAAATGTTATTCCATCATATCCCTTTTCTAATGCCCATTGTGGGTCTTTTTTAATTTTTCTCGAGTTTAAGATACCCGTACCCCATATATCAGATCCATAGAGGCATATGGGCTTTATGAGTTGATCAAATAGTTTTAAGCATAATGATGGTTTCATATTACCATTAGAAATTAGACTTAATAATTTAAATTTTGCCTTTTCAGCTTTGTCTTTGACATGCTGGGCTGCAGGTCTCATTGACCCACTTATGCTTAATTCCATTCCCAGGTAAATGTATCGTGAAACAGATTCTATTTTGTAATTTCCTATAAAGAAGTGATTATCAATAAGTCTACCATTTTTATTCATTACCATAATTTTGGTTTTATCAGTGTTGATATTTAAGTGCCATTCTTCACAGTATTTTTCTAATTTGTCCAATTTGGTTTGCATTTCATCTTTTGAGGATGCGATAATTACTAAGTCATCGGCAAAAAGGAGGCTTCCAATTCGCGTATTATTTAATAAAGGGTCTGTTTTGAGATCTAATGTTTTAATAATGTCATTTATATATATATTAAATAGAAGAGGACTTAGGGGGTCCCCCTGTTTTATTCCCTTGTTACAGTCAAATTCATTGGTAAATAAACCCTCATTATCTAGTCTGACTCTTGCTTTTGATTGTGAATATATATGTTTTATCATTTTATAGAATAAACCGTTTACCCCCGATTGCAAAAGTTTCAAAAATAATCCATCATGCCATACCGTATCGAAAGCTTTCCTCAAATCAACAAAACACATATATATATTCCCTTTTTCACTTAGTACATATTTATCCACGAGGGTTCGTATTATGAACATGTGGTCAGTTGTTCGTGCTTTCTTTGTGAAACCGGCTTGATTTTCCGATATTATTTTTCGGTCATGTACAAAGGCGTAAAGTCTATTATACAAAATTATTGAAAATAATTTGCCAAAGCAATCAGAAATAAAAATACCTCTGTAATTGCCAGGGTCTTTCGTCGTTCCTTTCTTAAATAACGTAACGATTGATGAAATATTCCATTTCTCAGGGAAAACTGTTTTGCTTAGTAATATGTTAAACATTTTACAGATAACATTATTTAAAACTGAGTATGACACTTTAATCATTTCATAGCTAATGCCGTTAAAACCCGAACTCTTGTTGTTCTTTAATTGCTTAACTGCCTTGTAAACCTCGTTTTCTGTTATTCTGAAGCTAAGTTCGTCAAAATGATTGTCATTTTCTATTGACTTAACAATTTCGTTGACTTTTTTGTTGATTTCGGTATTTTTATCCTTTTCAAATAATTTGGAAAAATGTTCATGCCATTTCTCTGGTGTTATATACGCGGACTTATTGTTTCCGTCTTTGTGCCTAAGTTGCTCAAGTAGGGACCAATATTCTTTAGGGTCATTGTCATAAAGTTCTTCTAATTTATTTATCATATTAGTTTTAAATTTCCTCTGTTTTATCTTACAGCATTTCCTATATTCCTTTAGCAACTTGAAGTAATTACCTCTAATCATATTATCATTTGGTGATTTTATTAGTTTTGCTCCAATTGACTTAACCTTTCTTTTCAGTATACTGCAATCATTATCAAACCATTTTTGAGATATCGAGCCCCCTTTCTTTTTACAGGGTAACTTTTTTCGTAGTGTTCTTTTTGCTGTGTTAATTATAATTTTTTCGAGCTTGTCAATACAATCATCAATATCATAGGTGTCGTTTAGCTCGTCATTGAGTTCATTTATATCATTTCGTGTTTTTAAATTATTGGAGAGGTCCGTTTTAAATTGTACCTCGCGACGGGCGTCCCATTTATATTTGATTGGTTTCATTTTGATAGTATGCCCATTGTTTTTAGTCCGATTGTTACCGTGGTCGTTTGGTATTCGTACTTGCATTAATAGAGAAATCTTGCAATGATCAGAGAGCACACAAAGGTTATCATGAACCTTGAAGTACATAATATCTGGAAGCATATTTTCATGAATAATACAATAGTCAACTACACTGCTTCCGTTCCATTTATGGCAGGTGAATCTACCGGGCGAATCCCCAAGTACTCTGCCATTTATAATTCGTAAATTAGATGACCTGCATAGGTCTAGTAGCTTCTTACCCGAAGCATCAACAACTGAATCCATGCTGGAACGTTCATTGATGGTGACATCGTTGGGACAAAGCAGAATGTTTGGGATATGATCATCATAACCGTGATTATTTTCAAAATCGCGTACTTCACCTGTTCTTGAATTAAGATCTCCCATAATCATAACATCACCTATATTAGAATATTTATTTATTTCTTTTGTCAAAATCTCGTATGGCCCAATTGAAAAATAAAACTAATTACCAACTTATTACCAACTAATTTACAACTAATTATCAACAATTCTGCTGGCAATTGGAATTAAAGTTAAGCGTTAATTAAATCAATGATAATTATGGCCTAATTATCAGTAACAAGTTCAACGTAAATTAACTTACAATAATGCTGATTTATGATTTTTAGTTGATAATTAACCTTTAGCGTGCTGCCGGCGGACGAGTCCGCCGAGACTAAAATGTCTCTCACAACTGCCGGCGGACCCGTACGCCCGATTTCAAACTTTTAAAAACTTTACTTTTTCGCGCCATTCGTATTGTCCAATTAGATTGCCCGATTTATTCAGTGCCTAACATGACTTCCTGTTGACCTAGAAATGGCGATATTTCGAAAAATAATTCTCAATTCAACAATTTAAACAGTGTTTTAGTCGTTTTTAGTTAACGAATCGTACAAAATGGTGGACAAATACGATCACAACGAAAATGTGGAGGAAATTGATTACGATTTCGAGCTCTTTAGGCTCTTGGAAGCCGATAACGGTCATCGAAACTAGAAACTAGAATATTTTCTGAATTGAAAAATTGAACATTCGATCGCTGCAAATTCAGATTTGGATTCTGACCAGACGAAGAGGCGGAG